ACAAACACACAATGAACCAACCAAGCAACCAACCAATCACACAAACAAACAAACAAACCACTCGCTGACCTTGAGGAACTTGGATGGGTCTGTATCGGCGGACATGAGGGTCACATGGTGGTTGTGGCAGATGCCCTGGCTCAGAAAGTACTTGAGCACCACGTCTGCGTACGGGCTTTTGGCTTGCGCCTCTAATAACACGCAAGATAGACAGAGAGAGAGAGTGTGTGTGTGTGTGTTGGGTGGAATTAATAAGCGTGGCGTTGGTGGGAGGGAGGGAAGGAATAAGACGCAGGACGGAGAAACTAAGAAGCAGGGAAGCAGGGAAGGAGGAAGGAGACAAGAATGCTCCCCTTACCCATCCAAACATACACACGCACCGATGAGGAAGACGGAGCCAACTGCGACACCACCGCCTGTCGCGCACAATTAGGAGCAAGGTGAGGCCCACGCCAAGCACAACGACCCACGCAACACCGCAGCAGACACCAACCAACACGCCTGGAGCGGCAGCGCCACCACCATGCCAGACGGTCAGACGGTTACACACGTGCACACATCATGTAACCGCACACGCAGAGACACGCACAAACCAAGGAGGTGGTCGATGGCGTCCATGCCGGTGGAGGTGAGCAACTGGCCATTCGCAAGCGACGGCTTGGTCGCTGGTGGTGGCTTGCGTGCCTGGCGCGCAGCCCCAGCCCGGCGGAAGCTGCTCATCGCTCTTGATAGTCGCAGTCGTTGTCCTTGTGTTCACTACTTTTTGTGGTGTTTTTGCGCCATATCCACCGCGTCGCACTCGCACACATCGCACGTTCGCAACACGCACCACCTCTCTCACTGCCACATCTCACATCTCCTCAGCACGATGTCCAACGGGCTCGGCGGCCTGAACGAGGGCCAGCACCGCACGCTCAAGGTGTGTGCATGTGCGTGTGTGCTTGTGTGTGTGTGTGTGTGTGCTTGTGTGTGTGTGTGCTTGTGTGTGTGTGTGTGCTTGTGTGTGTGCGCGCTACGTTGTTCCTCCATTGTTCCGTGCGTTGCACCACAATTGACGTCCTCAATCATTCAATCGCTCATGTACACTCATCCACCCTGGTGCACTCATGTGCACTCATGCACATTACATCGTCAGACGGCGGTGGAACACAAGCTGAACGAACTGGCATCCTTCCAAGGTGAGCGCACAAGGATCAAACGACGAATTAGGAGAGGAACATGAAGAGCATACTCTACTTTGCACCTGGTACACGTCAAGCTGAGGCAACACATACGTTCAATCCACCCCTCACAAGCAATGTACACTTGCACGCTTGCGCACACCTTTCGTGCCACTGGTTTGTCGCCTTGCAGACACGGAGCTCGTGGAATTTGTCCTCTTGCTCGTCCAGAACAACCGCGACAAGTGCGTGTCACTGCTGCATGCATTCCTGGAGGACAGATTCCTTGTGTTCCTATTGCACCTCTTTGTGTGCGTGCGTGTGATGTGCTGGACAGACGTGTGCGTGTGTGATTGATGATAGTATGTTGTTGTTTGCATTGGGAGTGGTGACGTGGCCCTCACACGCGCGTGGCCGTGTTGTTACATGTCAGGGCGACTTGCGTATCCACGCTGCAGGACCTTCTTGAGGATGTCACTGTTCCGTTTGTGGACTGGTGAGTTTGCAACAAACGGCGTTACAGCGAGCACACGTTTGATCCTGCCCTTGCTTCAGAAGCAGCTTCAATGCCTGCTGTCCCTGTGTCTTGTTTGTGACCCACCCACCACCGGCTTGTTTGCTCACGTGCGCTGTCTTGCTCGCTTGTTGTCGTCGATACATATCTGCAGGCTGGGGGAAGCAGTGAGTCAGATCAAGGCAGGCACTTTCGTACCTCCAGGTCAGCCTCAAACAGCGCCCCATATGCTTTGCTTTGGTGTACATTCGAATCCGTTTCAACGCCTCATCGCAACAGTTGCTACGATACACGCAACACGTGACATGACACATCATCCACATATCACGTGGCATGATGCATGCCACACAACACCCGCTACACAAGCTACACGCTGCACATGGCACGCCACACGCTATGCCTCACCACATGCTTCTTGCTCGTTGTGTTGTGCAGAGCCGGCGCCTGCTGCGCAAGAGACTGCAGAGGAAGAGCACGAGAAGAGCGCATCACCGCATCGCCAGGCTCACTCCCCTTCCCGCTCACGGTCCCCTTCTCGCTCTCGCTCTCACTCCCGCTCACGATCACCATCGCCACGTGCGCGGTCGCGATCCCCGCCACCGCGCCCGCGTTCCCGCGACCGGGACCACTATGGCCACGGCTACGGCCGCCCGCGCGACAGGGGATATGCCGGGCGCGACGTTGACCGCCGCCGCGACGTTGACCGGGACCACAACCGCTATCGCCGTGGTGGTGGTGATCGCGGCGGTCGGTTTGCGCCGCGGTACCACGATGACAGATATGGCGAGCGGGACGGGCGCCGCTGGCGGCGTGGATCGCCCCCGCCTCCGCACCACCGCGACTGGCGACGCGACCGCGACCGCCGCGGTGCTGCTGCTGCTGCTGATGATGATAATGATGAGCGACGCCGCCGTGGCAGTGGTGGCGCTGGCGCTGACCGACGCCTGTCGACTGTTGTTGTTCGCTCGCAGGACCGCACAGCAACACGATCCGACGCCGTGCGCAAGAACAAGGCGTCGTTCAGCAACGCCAGGTGCGTGCGTGCGTGCGTGTGTGTGTGTGCGTGCGTGCGTGCGTGCGTGCGTGGGTGTGTATGTGTGTGATGTGTGTGTGTGTGATGTTGTGCTCGATGATGTTGCTGTCGTCGTTTTTCGCCTTGTGTACATCCATATCCCCCACACACATACACACACACACGTTCACACACACATACTCCTCCCTCACCACCGCTTCAGGCTTGCGTCGAGTGCCTTTGAGGCGGCAGCGGAGAGCACGGCTGCGCCACGCCCCCGTATCACAGACCGTCTTGGTGCTGGCTCTGCAGACTCAAAACAGCAGCATCAGCAGCGCGCCGCCGATGACAGCACCACCTCTGGTGCTGGTGCTGGTCGCCTTCGCGGGCGGTTGGGCGATGCTGCCCGTCCCCGTGCCCGCGCCCGCGAGCGCTCTCCAATCCGCCGCGCTGGTGCTGGTGATGAGCGTGGTGGCCGTGGTGCTCGAGATGATGGTGGTGAGAGCGGTGATGATGATCGTCATCGTGGTGGTCGCCGCCCGCGCCGCGGTGCCATCGACCGCGGCCGCTCCGGTGGCGCTGTGCGCATGTTCCAGCAGGCCGCAGCCCAGTCCGCCAGAGAAGGTGTGTGTGTGTGTGTGCGTGTGTGTGTGTGTGTGTGTGTGTGTGTGTGTACATGTGTGTGTGCGTCTGTGTGTGTGTACATGTGTGTGTGTGTGTGTGCGTCTGTGTGTGTCACTGCGTGAATTGCAAACCCTTTGCTCCCCCCCCCCCTTCTTTTTCACTTGCTCGCTCACGTTGCTCTCAACAACATATTTACACCAGCTGAGGCGTACTACGATGACGAAGACAACTTTATTGCTGGCGACGAGGTGTTGTCGGACGAGGAGGAAGTGGTGCACGCCGAGGAAACCGAGCACGAACCACAGCGCGTCCAGCGACAAAACCCTCCCCGCCCAGCACACCGCGCTCCACCACCCGTGCCGGCACCACCAGCAGCACCAGCACCTGTTGTTGCCGCCCCTTCGCCACCGCTTCCCGCTGCTCCCGTGCCTGCAGGCATGCCGCATGGCCAGAACGCATTCAGCCGTCTTGGCAGTCACCGCCAGCCCGCACCCGCGCCCCAGGCTCGCGGCAGCGTCTTTGCTCGCCTCTCAAACAAGAAGACGGGCGCTATGCCACCACACGGCATGCCCACGCCATCGCCCGCAGCAGCACCATACGTGCCCACGGGACTTCAGCAACAGCAGCAGCAGCAGCAGCAGTTTGGTGGTGGTGGTGGTGTTGGTGGTGGGTTTGCACATGCACAGGCTGTCGCGAGCCAGATTCTTCACGCTGCCGTCGGCCAACGCCCGCCAGCGCCAAAGGTGGGTTGAGGAGGAAGCGTGTCGGTTCTTGGTGCTGTTGGTAGAATGACCGAGCAACTGCCTTTTTCTCACGTGCACACCCACATACCTGCCAAAACAGAAGCAGATGTTCACTGTGCAGCAGAAACCGTTTGGTGCAAAGAAGGCGGCTCCGCCTCACGCCACCAAACCACGTCCAAAGCCGACGCAGGCTACCCGTTCCATGGCCCGTACGTTTGTTTGTTTGTTTGTGTGTGTGTGTTTGTTTGTTTGTTTGTTTGTTTGTTGGTTTGTTTGTGTGTTTGTGTGTTTGTTTGTTTTTGTGTTTGTTTGTTTGTTTGTTTGTTTGTTTGTGTGTGTATTTGTTTGTTTGCTTGTGTGTGTGTGTGTGTTCATGTACAGGAGGCCGATAGAATGTTCCGTCTCACGTTGCGCACTTGCTGTTCTGTCACAGAAACGCTGTGCAAGTTCTTCCCAAAGTGCCTGAACAAGAAATGCGGCTACTTCCACCCTGTGTAAGCCTGCTGCTGCTGCTGCTGCTGCTGCTGCTGCTGCTGTTGCTGCTGCTGTTGTTACCATCTCCCCGCCACGATGTCGTGTGCCTCCATTCCTCATCCCACGTTCTCCATCATCCCCCCCCCGCCAAACCAAACCAACGACAGCAAGTGCAAGTTTGACCTGAAGTGTGCTCGCCGCTCCACCTGTCCCTTCTGGCACAGCGACTCGCCCCTCCCACAGATGGGCGCCCCGTCGGGACCAGCCAAGGCGCCACAGGCAACGCGACATGTCAGGTGAGGACGCACGCCATGCTGGCCATGAGAGGGGCGGAGGTGGATGGGGAGAGGCGTTGAAGAGGATACGGAGTGGATCATCGCGTTGTCGTGCGTCCAATACATGTCAGCGCCCACTGCTCACGCGCCACTACAATTACCATCATCACCATCACGACCACGACCACGACCACTGTCGCCATTGGCACTGCAGCGAGCGCAAGTTTGCTTCCGACACAGTGGCCGAGAACGTGCCGCTCCCGCAGGAACAGGCGCGCAACCAGACGGTCGCTTGAGGATGGATGGATGGATGGATGGATGGAAGAGAAGGGGGCGGGGGAGACATGAAGAGGAAGGCTGAGGTTGAGGAAGAAGTGTGTGTGTGTGTGTGTGTGTGTGTGTGTGTGTGTGTGTGTGTGTGTGTGTGTGTGTGTGTGTGTGTGTGTGTGTGTGTGTGTTTGTGAATGACCGTCTGCTGCGTGGCGCTTTGCTGGAAATTACAAGGATGGCTTTCAAGTTTGACAGCACACAAGCAAGGAATCAGCGTGTGATTGTGGAAACAGCGTGCAGAAGCAGAGACGCATATGCACATCCCCCTTTTCTGCTTCTTCTGCGTTGCGTAGTCGTTTTCAATTAGTGTGACACCACAACGGCCACAAGACTCAAAACCCAGCCAGCTGTGAGTGAAACCCCCCAAGCATGAAATGAACACACTCGACTGCAAGACGTAACAACTGCGCGGATGTGACACATGTAACAACGGGTGAGCAAACAACGAAATAACCTGCAGATGGCAGCTAAACACACACACACACACACTGATAACCTCACACTGATACACACACACACACACAGAACATCATAACATCAGAACATCACACAAATGCATGGCACTATTCCTACTGTCACACCACGGACACAGTTGTATCGGTGTCAATGTTAGGGGAGACGGATGGCGAGGTGTGACTGGTCACAGGCGCAGACAACGATGCGTGACTTGTGCGCCTGTCTGCTGTTGTCGCCTGGTGTTGTCCTTGCACCTCTCCCCTCTCTTTCCTCGCTGCTTCCGCGCCCGCCTCTGCGACCATTTCCGCATCTTCTTCCAAGAAATCGTGTAGCCGCGCTGACCCGTGCACCAGCCCTCGTCCAGCCACACCCTCACCACCCTGCTGCACCGGCTGCACACGCTGCACTTCATCATCCACCATACCCACGTCTCTCATATCCTCATCATCGTCAGCCTCGTCCTCGTCGTCGGCCGCCTCTGCCGAGTGCACATCGACACTGTCGACGCGCAAGCTCAGCGGCACGATACGACCAGCAGCACCGCTGACGCTTGCACCCTGCTGCTGCTGTTGTTGTTCGCCTTCGTTTCCTTCCTCGGCTTCCTCCTTCTGCATGTGAGTGTGTGCGCATGTGTGTGTATGTGTGTGTGTTTAACATTAGGCAACAACACGAGCAAGAACCATGCCAATGAGCACGGCAGACAGTGACACACAGACACACACACACACAGACACACACACACACACACGCACACACACACACACGCACACAAAGCACACACACACACACGCACACAAAGCACACACACACGCATAAAGAATCCAAACTCAAAACGGAACACACGCACCAAAGGGCACTGGTGTTCGTTTGGATGCTTGCGCGCCTTGTGCAGCCATCGCTTTGCCATGACGGAGGGCCGATATTGTGTCAGCAGCCCAACGGCACGTTGTCCAGGTGTCAAGTTCATGCCAGCCACACCTAAATGTGCATGTGTACAAGTGTGCATGTTTGTGTGTGTGTGTGTGTGTGTGCGTGTGTGTGCGTGTGTGTGCACAGGTGTGTGTGTATGCGAGCATGTGCGTATGCGTGAATGAATATGGCATTGCTTGCTGGCGCTCCCACGACGGCATCTGTGATCAGCAATCACGACATCAAGCCGTCGCACACCACGCACCTCGATGAATGTTGCGCCAGTCCAGACGCCGCTGCAACAGGAACACGCTGTCGCCTACACATGCACGGGCAGATTGCGTGAGGGAGAAAGGTGCGCGCTTGGTGTGAGTGTATGCATGTGTGTGTGTGTGTGCGTGCGTGTGTACATATGTGTGTGTGTGTGTGTGTGCAGGAGAGAAAGAGGGACACCCAGCACAGGGTATGGCATGCACCAGCACTCCAAACACCACATACGGCCGACAACTCAGCACCCGCAGGCTCACACATCCACTCCTAGCGCCATCCAACCCACCTGCTTCGACAGCAAAGTTTTCGTCTGGATTCGGCAGAATCGCTTGGAGCACAAATCCAGACAACGTTCTGCAAAGAGTTGTGTGCACGCGCATGTGTTGCGAGTACAAACGAACACGTACGTAAGCAGGTGCTGACCCAGCACGCATGCCTGAAGCATACGTGGACACGTACACATTTACTTGCGCACAAATCAACACACACACACACACCAACCTGCTGAGGCGTGCCCTTGGCGAGGCCTTGATGCGATCAAACAGATTCTTCTTGTGTGATTCGTGCACTGACCGGGCCATCACTCGCTCAATCTTGAGCCCTGTTCCATGGACAGTGACACAAAGATGCGTCATGAGCAAACAGCGGCGAACTCGGGAGTGCGTGCAGCCAATTACTGACGCTCTTCTGCACGCTCACCGCAACAACAACAACAACATCAACAACAACAACCCACACGCACACACAGTCAAACATGAACAGACATGTGTGCAGACCCACCCAGAACCACGCAGTGCTTCTTCAGCAGAAAATAGCGGCACACATCGCCGTAGTCCTTGATGTTGCGCTTCCGAACCAACTGTTAAACGTATCGTGGTGACGGCGCGAAAAGCAATCAGGCGGTGGGGCAATGAGATAGGACTTGTGATCCATCCACAAATCCCTCAATACCATGCACGCGAGCCCTTCACACTGATCTGTAAACACACACGCACACAATGCACACAAATGCATACACAAACACACACGCCACCCCCCCCCCCAACGCACGTCCTCGGAGAGGGAGAAGAGCGCAGGGAAGTTGTTGTCATCCTCACAGCCCAGCAGCAGTCGATACACCTGCACACACGCGCACAATGAGTGACACGAAGCAAGTGGACAGACCGTCATCGACACCGATAAAACCAACAGAAACAACAACGGGCGAGGTGTTACGACATCCACATCGCGTGCAGCGTGCACACGACATCGGCGTCACGCGCCGCCACACGCCGTCCATGCCGCACCTCCAGCAAGGATTCCTTTTCCGGCCGCATGCTTTGGTACAGCAGTGCATCAAGCATTGTCGTCGTGAACACTACGCACACACACACACACACACGCAAAGAGGATGAGTGACGAACGAGGTTGTGATGGACGATGAGGGGACTGTTTTGTTCCAATTTCTGCAAAGATCGCGCATACCAAATGGCAGGCAAGCAGGCAGACAGAGAAGACACACACACTCACGCAAACACACATGCACACATGCACACGCACACACACACACACACACACACACACACACACACACACACACACACACAAAGTAGAAACACACCTTGGCCGGACGCGTACGATTGGCGGAAGAGGAATTCTGTGGACGACGCCGAATACGATTGAAACCTGAAAGTGGAGCCAAGAGAACATAACGTGAGCACGACACACGTCTCATCACAAACTTGTAGCAAAGTGGTTCACTTCTCCTGCGTTCACTTCTCCTACATTCATTTTTCATCTCCATTACAACCACACGAGCGCGCATATCCGAGTGCCGGCGTGTCACCTGTTTCTCCACGTTGCGGCGGCAGAGAGCGTAGCGTTGGCCATTGTCTTCGTCAGCGCTTTGCTGAATGCGGACGGCGGTGGTGCGCGCAGAGAACCTGCAGCCACACATGCGTGCATGGTGGTGTGAATGTGCGCACGCGTGTGTGTGAGTGTTGAGTGTTGAGATGGGGCAATGCATTATGTCAAGGGTGTAAGCAGATGCACGCGCGAAGGTATTCAAGTACGTGCACGCGTTGGGCAAGCAAACGAGGATGGCCATGCGTGCGCGATGTCAGCGGAGGAGAACATCACATGTGCTTTAGTTCGCAACTGCCGCACTTCCTCATGACCACCACCACCAACTCCCTCCCAATCCTCTCTTTGCGCCTTGCCACCGCACCTGTCCTGAGCGAGGGCGCGGTCACCTCCTCAACGCTGAGCGATTGGCGCAGGTCGTCGGGGTCTGCGGCAACAAAGCGAACGAACTTAACGTTGGGCCGGTGCGTCAGCTCTGTCAGCACTTTGATGTCGGGGAACACGTCCTGTTCGTGGGAGTACAGAGGGGAGAGGGGAGGGTGTGTTTGGTGTGATGAGTGGAACGATCGGGGAACTGCAGTTCAGGCGCCCTTGACCAAATCACATGTCCACTCAACCAAACACACACACACACACACATACACATACACATACATACACACACGCGCACGCACGCGCGCGCACACACACACACATACACACAAACACATACATACACACGCACACACATACACACACACATGCCTCCCTCTCCCCAGCTCTTACGTGGACGTTCTGCGTGGCCATGATGTTCGGTGCGTCAATCATGCAGTTCTCGCCGTGCAAATCCCGCACGCCGGGCGCCAGCACCAGCACAATCTGAGCACAGGTGGTGGTGGTGGTGAGGTTGCATGAGCGCGTGAGAGGCGTGAAAGGGGCAACAAAAAAAAAAGGTAAGACAGACACAGTTCACGATCGATACACTTCCCACTGACATACATACACATCTCCTAACAATGACAATGACACCAGCAACAGCAACAACAGCCCACCCTTGATCCGCGAAGACAGGCGCGCAGGAGGGAGCGCGGCGTCTCGAGATGACCGACGTGGTAATACACGAGTGGAAACAGCGCCATGAACTTGCACAGCCGCTGACTCAGCTGCCACTGCTCTGCGACCAGCACCACGATCGGCAGCAGCGCATCTGGGGACAGCGTGGCAGAACGCAGCACGCGGATGAAGTGGTACACACCGCTGCCTGCAGGCTCGCCCGGTGGCAGTGCCAGCACCACAAACGCGGGTTTGCGCTGCTCCAGCCGCTCGTCCTCACTGTGCCCGGGTGCGGAGTGCGATTCCGCAGAGTGCATGACGTGCTCGCTGCCGTTGCTGCCGTTGCTGCCGTTGCCTGCAGGCATTTGCGTGTCGTGTGCGTCAGCATCACCACTACCATTGCCGCCACTATCACCACCACCGCGTGCATTGGGATCGCTGCTGGCGTGCCGTTCATCAACGATGCGTCGCCGAGTGCCCGGTGGTGTCTTGGACTTCTTGATGGCGGCCGCTGATTGGGGATGCGCGGAGATCACACCGGCCGACAGCAACGCCGCAGCAACAGATGACGATGCAGGCTGCACGTCCTCCTGCTGCTGTTGCTGCCGCTGCTTTAGTTGCAGCTTCTCTTCGCGCTTTCGCTGCTGCATCATCTGCCGAAGCCTCTGCATCGGCGTCGCATCACTGTCATCGCCATCACCAGCTGCTGTTGGGTGCACTGCCCCTCGCTTCCCTCCATGCTGCTGCTGCTGTTGCTGCTGCTGGCTGGTGGGAGGAGATGTGTGGGTTCGAGCGCGCTCCCCTGCCTCGGCATCACCCGCGTGACCGCCATTGCTGCTGCTGCTGCTGCTACCTGTGCTGCCACCGCCCTTTCCAGTGGTGGCAGCAGCTGGCACGCCCACATCCGACAGGCGGCGCAGGCTCTGGCTGCGACGCACCTGCGCCGAGCGGTGGAAGATGATCGGGCTCTCCGTGTTGACGTGCTCCTGCGTGGCGGCGAGTTGATGGTGGGGAGGGTGGTGGGGAGGGTGGTGAGGAAGGGTGGGTGGATGGTGAGGAAGGGTGGGTGGTTGGTGAGGATTGTAAGGTTGGTTGGATGGGGTGGGAGGAACAAACCCCAGGAAGAACTGATGAGCAGCAAGCGAGCAAGACAGCGAGCCAGATTGGATACAGAGCATGAAGCCCACAAGCAAGCAAACGCAGCAGTCCTCGAGCCACAAGCAACAAGCACTACACAATCGAACAACATGCAACCTTCACCGCAACAATTACCCTCCCAACCACAGCCCTCCCAACCACAACATGCACATCACACCACCATCCGCTCCTTCCAGCAACCATGCGCCATCGCACCCATGTGAGAGGCAGGTCGTCTTCTGGTCGCGACACGGCGACGAGAGTTCGCTCACGATCGAGCCCAGAGTCACGGTACTCGACAAAGTGGCACTTGTGGCGCGGGCTGCCGTGGTACATGGCATGCTCCTTCAGCCGCACCTGCACAATCACGTACTCGTCTGCGCGTGACGTGAGGTCGGAGGCACGGCTGTTGATGGATGTCGTGTCCATGAGTGACACGCGACGCGGAGCAGAGCGACCAAGCGATGACAGCGGAGCATCGCCCTCAATGCCATGTGAATGCTGCTCTCCTCCTCCACCACCGCCTCCACCGCCACCAGCGGCGCGTGTTGCTTCTGTTGCTGCCAGCCCTGCTGCTGTTGGTGCCGCTGTTGTCTTGGGCGGCGACAGTCGTGCTCTGGCCATGCTGACTGGGGTGCGCAGTGTTGGCGAGCGCGTGAACGCTGAGCGGCCGCGCGCAGGTGCAGCCCGCACGGCCGATGACGCTGGAGTGGGCGTGGTCGATGGTGACGTCGACGTGCCTGCAGGCAACGACGCACCGTGCTCTGCCGGGCGCCCGCGCTGCGCTGCTGCGCTTCGTCCTTTGCGCGTGTGCCCGTCGCCAGGGCTGCCTGTGCGGTCATCCTCCACATCGCTCTCACTCTCGACAGTCACGTTCATGCGCACATGCGTCGGCAGTTGCGTCTGCGTTGGTGATCGACCACCACTCATCTGCCTGTCAACACCACCACCGCCAGCATTGCCGCCAGTGTGGGCGTTGTCGCCGCCAATTGCACTTGCGCTGGCGCTGGTGCTGCCCCTGTCTGATCCGAGCATGGACGCGACGTCCACAGATCGGCTCCGGCTGCCTCTTCTCTCTGTCGCTGCTCCCTCCGCAACGGTTGTCAGCGCTCGTGCCGACGTGCGTGCTCCCCTCAGCGCATCGATACCACCACCACGTCGGCCCTTGCGTGGTTCGCTTCCGCCGTCGCCAGATGTTGTGCGCAGGCGCGGCGGCGCGGATGTGTCGCGATCACTCCCAGTGCCTGATCGTGTTGTGTGTGTGTGCGTGTGTGTTGTGTGTGTGCGTGTGTGTTGAGTGTGTGTGCGTGTGTGTTGAGTGTGTGTGTGTGTTGAGTGTGTGTTCAGTGTGTGTGTGTGTGTATGCGTGTGTGTGTTGAGTGAGTTGTGTGGTAAGTGTGTTGTGTGAGGTGTGTGTCGTGCAAAATCCCAGCCAACCAATGAAGGGATACAAGCGCCAGAGAAGACAGAGAGAGAGAGAGAGAGCTGCAGCACACGCATGCACTCGCACACGACACCGCCCGTCTCGTGTTCACGTGCACACACCTGCAGTTGATGACGATTCTCCAGTTTCGCTGCTCGAGGACCCTGAACACATGCACACATGTACGAGATGAGTACTTGCACGCGTGTCGTGGCAAAGAGAAATAGAGAGCACATAGGCATGCAGCACACACGTACACATACACAGCACAACACACGCACAGAACAAACACACACACCCGACGGCAGAAAGCGAGGCAGCATTGCAAGCGCACCTCCGTTCATTTCCCGCCCTTCGTCCTCCTCATCTGTGCTCTCGTCACTGTTGTCCGTGTCGTCATCATCGTCGTCTTTGTTATCGCGTTGGGATTCGAGCATTGCCAACGTTCCCATCGCCTTCACATGCAGCTCGTTGTCGCTGTTGGGCCGTGTGTGTGTGTGTGTATGTGCGTGTGAGTGTATGTGTGTGTGCGCGTGTGTGCGTGTGTGAGTTGATGTGCGAATGGAAGGGCGCAACAAGCAGCAACAAACAGCACACCTCGCCTGCTTCAGTCATTCGTGACATTCATCCATCGCACCACATCAATTGCACAGCACCAACCGAGCGCGGGAGATGTAGATGCAGACGTCACTGCCACGAAGATGGACGCACGGCGTTGGATTCAGGATCACCACGCCATCCCGCTTGATGCCGAGCAAGCACACCTGGTCAAAGTGGGTGGAAGGCGTTGGCGTAAGCACAGGATGATGCGGCCAGAGTGGAGGGGGGGGGGAGATGGTGACGCTATATTTGCGATGTTATGAAGGGCACTTGCTCGCTCGCTCATGTACTCGCATGCAGAGCAACCGCAACGTCGTGCTCTTCCTCCTCCCAAACCTCCTTACCCCTCCTCCTTCCCCTCCACACACACACACACACACACACACACACACACACACACACACACACACACACACACACACACACACACACACACACACACACACACACACCAAGCATCGCCCACGACAGCAGCCACCAGCCATCAATCAGTCACCACCTTCTGTTCGACGAGGTCTGCGGCTGCCTCGAAGAATGCCTCGCCCTCGTAGCTGGAGAACACGGGGCTGGTGTCAAGAAGACTCTCAAACACCTGATTCTGCGCCGCCTGCTGGTACGCACCGAGCGGGTCGCTCGTTCCATCAAACACCTGGCCATGGTGGCGGCCATGGCGGTGGTGGTGATCGAATGCATGGATAAGGGAGGGAGGGAGTGATGTTTGGAGGGGGTGAGCCGAGTGTGCGAGTGGGATGTGAGCATGTGCGTGATGCCAACTTGTTGCCGCCATCCTGGTCATGTCCATCAAATCCCGTCACCACACATGACACATGGCACGGAAGAAACAAGCAATGAATGCTTGCTTCCTTGCCTGCAAGCAAACCAAAACACAAGCCAAACCACAAGCCAACACGAAACAAGCAGCGCGCGCACCACGTCATCGTCGCGGTCCACGGCGTGTGCCATGTTGGTGAGGAGGGTTGAGATGCCCGGGCACTGGGCGGAGAGGGCGAGGAGGGAGAAGCGAAGTTCGCTGAAACACATGACGCGGTGGGCAAAACTCACGTGCCGGATGTTCTCAAGCAGCATGATCTGACAGAGGGAGAGGGGGAGGAGGGGAAGGGAGAGGAGGGGCAGGGGATAGTTGTATATGTGTGTTTGTGTGTGTGTGCGCGCGAAGGAGAGGGTGAGTAGAACAATAAAAGAACAACAACTGGCAAACACCCAAGCATCCTAACACGCGACCGACACACACACGCACACGCACACACACACACACACACACACACACACACACACACACTTTCACCCTCTGTCCTCCTCGTCCTCCTCCTCCTCAGCATCATCCCCTTCACACCTGCACGTAGAGTTTTCTGTCTGGCGCGTAGTCGTTGACGGCCCACGCCCGCAAGACAGCGTGGCGATCCGTGTCGTTTGCCGTCCGCGCGCTGTGCAGTGTGCGGTGTTGGTGATGGTGAGTCATGGTGGTGGTGAAGACGGTGGCGATGAGGGATGGCTGTGATCGTGAGTGGAAGTAGTTGTGTACTCGAATCGGCACCATCACCACCACCACCACCATCATCATCATCATCATCATCATCATCATCATCAGCATCATCAGCATCATCAGTGCCAACACCAAATACCGTTCCCTCCCCAAAACCAAAAACAAAACACATCTTATGACACTCCCACACACACACACACACACACACACACACACACACACACACACACACACACACACACGACGACGACGACGACGACGACGACGACGACACACACACACACACTCCCTGAGGACCCACCGTTCTGCCATGATGAAAATTGCCTCTGCAACTTCCACGGCTGCGCGACGCAGATCGCTCGGGTTCATCGCAGACCCTGACAACAGGTGGCGACAGCGGTGGTGATGGTCGTCGGTGAGGTTCCTCTTGTTGCAGTGAACTATACAACATATTATACACACATGCACACACACACAACAAAAAATACACACACCCACCACAAATACACGCACACCCACACAACAAATACACACACACACACACACACACTTACAAAACACCAAAGCCACCGACCTGTTATGAAGCGAACACCCTGGGGGCGGGAGGAGCGGGGGATGACGCGAATGACCTCTTGCGATACGGGTGTGGTGGACAATATCAACACATCACACGAAATGCCATCTTGGGCGAGGGCATTTTATGATAAATCGTCCACGGTCGTTGGATCCAGTCGCCGCCCAACAGCACCACGTGTTGTTTGCAAACAGCGCCTGGAGAGCACGTGTGCGATTGTTATGTATACCGGGGGGAGAGAGGCAGGCGGTGTGACATGATTTTATATTTGAGGATGAGAAGAGAGTAGTTGAAGAAGATGAAGAGGAATTTTATTATGA